TGGTGAATGGAGTGCTGTTGGCTGTGCCGGTGCAACATGAGGACCCGAAGCCCGGAGAACAATAACGAGGAGAGACTCCACAAAGGTGCTGTACAGAGGAGACAGGACCTTATCAATGGATTCTGACATGTAAAGTCTAAGTTTAGAAAGTGCTCTTGCTATTTAATCAGTGATAAAAATCCAATAGAAATCCATAAAAATGTGCCTCAGGGCAGCAACACACCGTTTGGTGAGGTTAATAATTATTTTTGTTCAGCCTCTGTCAGACTCTCCAGTCTGCTCTACATTACAAAGACGCAACAAATTAAAACTATATACTTTCAATAATAGGAGCAACGTACCCTATGTCATACCAATAAAAAATATGAGGCATGTATGAGATATTAATTTATCATCATGAGCAATTTACTGACTAATGATTTCCCCAAACTTCAGCCACTGTCCGCTATTCTGTGGCAGCGCTGTTCATATTCATAATCTCCATAATCCTGCTCCAGACAGGAGTTTTCTGGACTGCTTTTATACCAGTTTTGATGCTTCCAAAGAGAAAATTCTTGTTAGTTTCCACCACAGATGTGAGGATATCCACTTTCAGCTCGGAAAAGTTTCACATCTTTCTAATATTTCTTCTCTTTCATGTTTCACCTCAATGGGTGAGGCTTCTGAACCACAAATATTTGCAGGTGTGACATGTTAATGACGATCGATTTCAGCCACCGCATTTATCAAGACCCGATCATACGTACGCAGGGATTGGTCAGATACGAACCATTTCATAAATCTCACGTGTCCTATCGTACAATGAATCCTGCACTCAGATCTGCGCTCAGATTTGCGCAAGACTGATAAATGAGGGCCAATGTCCAAGAGCAGCGCTGCTCTTAACACTGACGTGCCCAGCATTACACCATCTCTCCATCACATACACCGCTATCACGCCTCCTTTCTTCTTACCGCTCTCCGTCACGCTCCAGTCCGCTCTGAAATCCATCCAAAGTTACGAGCGGGTCCAGAGTGAGTTTAGCCATGACTCCGTGAACATCATGAGGCTGCACTCCCGATACTCCCACTGCAGTCTAGTCAGCGCTGTGAGCTCTTCCATCTTGTTGGGGAGAGACCTCACGTTTCCCATGATGATGGATGGGACAGTTGGCTTATAACGTCTCCGCTCCGCCAGATACTGAACTCTGGCTCTGCATCCTCTCCTTCTCCTGCAGAGCTTTGCGGGGATGTCCGGTCTCTCCCACGAAGGTGGTCGGGCTTGGCGCAGCGCTAACAGCTGTTCACGGTTGTAAACAATAGAGCCTCTGAATGGATCGCCAGAAGCGGACTTAAAAACTCAAAAAAGTAGCAGAAAACAAAGTGCTAGAGTCACGAAATGCGCATCCATGGTTGGAATATGCAAAACACAACACTGCCAATTAAAAAGAAAGACAAATAAGGTGCAAAAAACAACAATAAAAAGGTGAAAACGTAAACTCTGTGAGGAGCTGCTGTGACTTGCTGCCACTCTCAGGGCGCTCAGTCACCAAAAGTTTACAGTCAGAAAGAGCGGGCCGCTCAAAAAATTTAAAATGTTGACTACACAGACATGACAGAACACAGCAATATCATTGTATTCCGAAATGTCATTAATAACTAATAGCTATTGACTGATATTCAAAGCTTTTTTGTATATACATCACAAATAAAGATGCTTCTTTAACGGATTCCTGCCTACCCCACCTTTAAGTAAGTATTTGTGCCTTGGGTTTAAGTATACTTGGTTATTGAATACTTTCATATATCTTTTTGAGAGTATAATCTAAGAATATACCTTTATAAAGATAAGTAGTACAAGCCAAGTATACAAATATGTACTGCAATTAAAATAATAGCATACCTAGAGATAATTTAAATCATACGGCACAGTCAGTATGCAGATAGCAGAGTGGATTAAAGGACACCCCAAGTTGGAGACTGTGGTCATGGGTTCAAATCCTGCACTGACCATGTGCTGCATACACCCCCCCTTCTCCCACATTGCCACTCTGTCCTACCCAAGACTAGAAGTTTATTACTCATAAACTAATAATATACCAAGAAGTTAATTTTCAAGAATGCTTCAAGTGTACTTTTATAAACTACATTGGGCAAATTTAGTCCCAGGAAGTTTACTTGTAAGTACACTGGAAGTATATTTGTATCAGTGTACAAAATATACTTTGGAAAGTATATGTAGGACCTCTTTATCTCTCCAGAGGGGTCTGTGGCGGCACAGGATATCGGAGCAGAGGCAGACAGTGACGAGTGGTAGACAAATATATTGATAAAGTCAAACTAGTTGATTGCTTTTTCATCCAGAACAGTTTATTCAGTAATCTCTTCTGTTATTTTTCACACTTATAAGCTTGACATGAAAGTTTCTGTCACTTTCGTATCAGTGACTGCAGGCATAGATAGCTCTGTTTTGGCTTGTCACCGCCATCCCTGCTAACATGAGCTTTGCGTACTGCAATTTAACGTCAGTGTTGTGAGTGAATTAAGCCTGAAATAGCTTTTTCCAAACCCCTGAGCCTTTTTTAGCTAGCTCCTTCTATGGTACATTCAGGACTCCCTCTGGCAAAATGCACAAACCTGCTGGTGCTGATGACATAGTCCATGCACATGGCTGTTTTAAACACAGAAGAGCATAGATCTGAGCTGACTAGACCTGCTCCAAGGCTCGGCCTTCAGGATAGGTCCCTTGTCACCGATACTGATTTAGATATTTTAGTTTGTATCTGGCCGAAATCCAATACTGGAAAAGAATAGGATCCTAGGGTCGGATCTCCTAATTGGGAAATCAGCACCTCCAAATCTAAGTCCATGAATCTCAAAATACAGAATTTGAACAGGACACTTGAAGACTGTGAGGAAAAAAGCTCTTCAGTTTCAGAAAACTATCTTGAGATCAAGGAGACCACATCTGTCGTATATGCCAGAGAAGGTTTGGTAGGCATGTTAGTTACTGTTATCTGCACAAATTATGAGCTTTTTGACTTCAGATTATTAATAAAGTAATTGAGTTTACCCTTCGCTCATGAAAGTAAAGCCATCCAGCAGCTCTAGAAATTTGCAGGAAGTATTGGTAGGTCTTTGCTGCACTCTGCTGGACAATGTTACAGTACACTTAGATCCTGATTTACTGAAGTTTTTTTGTGTTTAAAAAAGGTGCTCAAACTTCAGAGCATCTCTCAACACACAGTGAGGATTATGTCCCTCAAATGTGCAAGATCACACCTGTTAATTATTAAGCATGTTTGCCTTGATGAATATGCAATATGGAGCGTTTTTACACCAGTGTACAGAAAAATGCAAGGATGTGAATTTGTAATTTACAAACGCTGAATGTAGTTTCTGTGACACTCTTGAAAAGAAAATACAAATGTAGGCCCTGGTGTTGCACACAGATGGCTCCTGCTGTTGTAGTCAGACAGGCGTACTGCTCTATATCATTCTGTTTAAAGTCACTTCTCATTCGGTGTATTTTTAACAGTCTCTTTACCATAATCTTTGATGGAGAAAAACTATCAGACAGATGCAAGTTTACCTGTCGGGCTGTATAATCCCTTGGTTATATTTGCAGACCATAATCTGGATCGTGAGCTAAACTTGGACTTAAAATGCTCCCGAGTTGCAGCTGGAAACTGAGCAAAGAATGAGCATCTTAAAGTCCATCACCACCAAGATCCATGATAAGGTAACTGACTGTACTCACCAGGTTCCACTGTGGCCATTGTGCCTTTGTCAGGGACATCAGAGAAAATGCAACATGAAACAAGAAAGTCAGAGACAGTCAGCAGTAGGAGGACACACTTCTCTTTGGTTCAGTTTTTAAACCGTCATACCTGTCACACCAATCATACCTGTGGTTTAGTGTGTATACTGGTGTCAGTGACCTGGGCTGAATTTTTCCTTTTAACCTTCCCTGTTATTAAATTTATCATAGAAGATGCAATTTACTGTAATGTATAAAGTGTAAATTATAAAGCTTTTTAATCATTGAGTTATTTAATCTAAGACACTTTGTTACATCAATTTGAATCTCTTCAATTGTTTCTTTGGGTCTTCTTACCTGTTGAATCAGAAATACAGGCTTTGATTTATGCTTATCAAACTGTGGAGAAGGTTTATTACATCCTTACAGAAACATACAGCGAGCTTTTACCCCAGCGGATCAGGGTCACAGTTACTGATCTCTACAGCCTGTTGGATCATCTCTTTATTTGTCTTCCTAAAAAGCCAACTCTAACCCGAGGACAGTAAGACTTAAGTATTTGATACCTGGCTTCTCAACAGTTAAAAACCTATTCTCATCCCCACACATTATTCTGTTTGTCTAAAGTCAAGCTTGAAGTTTGGTACTCACCTGCTGAATTTGCTGCCACCACACAGGGACAAAGTGAAATAATGATTATGTAGAAGAACAGCCAACGTACTACACCCTGATCACATGATTAATTGAGTGTCTACATACTAAATAAGTGACGTTTTTACTTGTTAATATGACTTTTTCCAGACAGTAAACTCTCAGCTGTGTGATATGAATGCAGTTAACCAAGTTGATAAAACCTTTAAAATCCTTGTTCAGCAGTTTTAATCCCTGATATTTAGATTTTAGTCTGTGGTTCATAAAACACCTCAGTAATGCTTCATTTAATTTCCTCATACCTGAAATGATTACTTTATCTGTCTTAGTAAAACTAGTTGAAGGGCTCAGACACACTGGAGAATAGGTGTGGCTAAGAGAACAACACTTCTGGTAAAATGCTCCATCCATTTGTTTCCTCATATCTTAATTGTTTACTGTCTCTCATCAGGATATTCTAACACACACGCAAGCACGCATTCAAAAACAGAGTAAGACAAAACTAAGAGGACACAGCAGGAGAGGAAAACTGCAGTTGTTAAAACTGTTTATTATTCAAACAATAAAACAGTATACATGTTTTTAACTTTAGCTAAAAAAGGTTATTTATGTAATTTAAGACACAAGTTATTGGCTTTGCTGTCCTAGAGACAAACTTATAAGTGTGCACCATTTTCCACTTCTTTGTAAATTTACATCACACTCAGTAAAAAAGCAGTAAAATCAAATAATGCAAAGTAAAGCATGGCTGTGGAAAATGGATCACCATCACCTGACATCTTGCAGGTATTACAGCGCCATCTGCTGAGCTCTCCAAGCTAATACCAGAGAGGATTCACAGGAATTGGCTTTCAACTATACAACGATACAGATGACCATGAAGACAATGGCAATGTCTGTATGAGCTTTTTACAGTCTGTTAACTGACAATTATGTGAACAAAGGGTTAAAGGAAAAAGAGATCATGTTGGAGAGATCACTGTATTTGTCAAGATTTTTTAGGGACTGATAAGAAATCATATCTGACAAAACCTCCAATTTCTGCTCTAACTATAATTATAAAAACAGACTTTTACCATAAACAGGTGCTGACTTAAACACAAAAACTAAAAGCACAAAACAAGATTCATCTCCATAAAAGATGTTGTAAAGGGTCAATGAGGAACTCTATTATGACCAAAAACTGTGTTTGATTGAATAAACATGACTGTAGTTCACACCTAGTCACTGAAAGAGGAAAAAACTGCCTAAAATCTTTATAAATTCAAACAAGTATATAAGCAAGTACCGCTGAAATAGGTAAACAGAAAAGGAGATTTGTTATATATTTACATGATTATGACATCTGTATGATTAAATAGTCCACATCCCTGACTTTTTTTTCTCTCTTTATGTGACCCATCTCACTCTTGGGTGGATTTTTGTGAATGCTTTCTATTCCACACAGTTATAGGATGTTACAGGTGTTTTTCTCTGAAAGTTTTTCATTCATGATTTTCATTTCTCGTTGAAGCCTTGCTACTTCTTCCTTGTCTTTTTGTTTATCTGTCTCTAGAGTCTGAAGTTTCTTTTTGATCAGTTCCATTTCTTCTAAATGTCTTTTGCTTGCGTCCTGTTCTTGTTTCATGACTTGCTCGATTTCTCTTTGAGCAGTTTCTTTTGCCACTTGGAACATCTCAGTGTTGTAGCAGCCGCCACCATTTGCCTGTACCATGGTCTTGATCTTTGTCAGCAACTCTCTGGCTTGTTTACGGTCCTTATCTTTTTTATTTAAGACCTGGTATCTTCCTCTGCAGTCATTTATGAGTGTTTTTACAAAGTCAGGACAGTCTTCAATGTAACTCTCAATTGACCGACCATCCAGATCATCTCCTCTGGTGAATATAATCATCATGTAATCTTCTGACCTTTTGCCAAAGACCCTCTTGATCAGATCCACAGAGTCTTTCTCCTGTTGTGTAATATTCCCGATCTGCAGCAATAGTAAGAACACATGAGGTCCAGGAGCTAACAAACGGAAGCATTTACTCAGCTCCTCTTGAATTTCTTCAATAGACAGATGTGTGTCAAACAGGCCGGGGGTGTTGACCACAGAGACAGGATATCCATTTATCTCACCTGTAGCTTTTTCACAGGTTGTGTTTGCTATCTTTGGGAGGGCTCTGGGTATGAAAACCGTTTTGCCTACAATGGTGTTTGCTGTTGCACTCTTTCCACTGCCAGTCTTTCCAATCAGCACCATCCTGAGACGCTCCTCCTTGACATCAAGGAAACAATACCTATCTTCACAACTCTGAATAAGCTCCTGGACATCTTTGTTTTTCTTCAGAAAGTATTTTTTATCTGTAGCTGTCTGATCTGACTCCACAGCGAACAGAACCATGGTAAAGGCTTTGACCTGGGAGCTGAAGGTTTTCTGTATGATTCTTAACTCCTGTTTGTCTTCATCAGTAAGGGGACCCATAGGAAGGACCTGGATGAAGAGATGAACGCCCTCAGGATTGGCGGAGACAAACCTGTGTGAGTCCTCCTTGACTGCTTCCTCAGATTTCCCATACAAGGCAGGCAGTTTTGCCAGGGAAACCCATCCAACCTCTGACATGGCAGAGCCAGGATGTAGCTGTGTCTGGCTATAAAAGGCTTCAGCTGCTGCAGTTTTCAGTGACTCTCTCTGGCCACACAGAACCAAGTTCAAAGCTTGTGTTTTGAGGGGAGTCATAGACTTCAGCGATGAAACGACTACTTTAGCCACTAAAAAGAAACAGAGAAAGATAAACATTAAACTAAAGTCAGTCAGAGAATAAAACTGAAATGGCTGCTGTGCAAAACAAGATCTGAACCCAATCTTACAGTCCAAATCATTACAGAAATACAACTGACTGTAAAACTCTGTCTTTAATTTACTTTCTGCAGATGAAACAGACAACAGTACTCAAATCTTTAGGTGTTTTTTTTGTCACAGGGGATTGATTCACACAATACAAATCTGCATTGCTAGAGAGGCTACAGAGGCCCTGGAGTCCCACCCAGGCATGTTGTAGCACATGGGGAAAAATAGAGAATGCAAGAAAAAACAGAAGGCGCTGCAGAGAAACTGAGGGCCAACAAAAAGAAAAGCGACACAGACTGCTAGGAGCAGAAAATTGACGGAAATGTTTGCAGCAGGGCCAGTGGCCAGCAGCACTGATACTGCTGTTTTAGTGAGTCCCTCACAGGAGCAGACACTGTTGGGTTACGCAGGTCTGCCCCCAGTGTAAGGGGAGATTGAGGAGGAGGATGATATAAAGGAAGACTCACCGAGTGAAGTGATACTATGGTAAGCAGGTGTGTCCTACAGCATGGTGTGGATACAAACATTCATTCTAATAAATGGTTCAGAATGGTTTCTTCACTGAACTTTACTTGACATAATAACAGTAAACATCGTGTGTTGTGTTTCAACTGAATCTAGTTTTTTAAAGTATTGGAAAACAATAACCATACTGACTAATAGATTAGTTGCTTTTATAAACCACTTAATTCCTCTTTCATACTTTTATCAAAGGATGGCTCAGATCTACAAGCTTACAATTTACACATTGCTATGTGATGTGTTTTGAACATGTAGATCTGCTGTTTTCACAGCTTTTGAACATTTCTATTTTACCCTGAATGACCCCCCCCCCAATCATGTCACCAGAGTTTAAGTGAGTCAACATGCACCTTTTTACTGCCCACAGTCTGGTTTGCCTATGATGTACATCATTCAGTAAAAAATAATCAATCACTGATTAAATAATGTTACAATAAAACATCAGCACACATATCATGCAGTTGTATAGTCTATACATCATATTGAGCTGTACTGCCTGTTCTAAAATAAGATTATAAAATAAAATAGATTAGAAGATATGATAAGATGAGACCTGTATGAGTAAGTGACTTGTTGAAATAAACAGTATTGAAGCCTAAATAGAATAAAATAGAATAGAATATTCCTTTATTGATCCCCCATGGGGGGAATTCTTTTGTCACAGCAGCATCACAGACAAAGAGTGCAAAAATGCAGTTATCAAAATAAAGATCGTAATATTAAGAACTTAAATAAATGTAATAATTAAGAAAAAATTTAGGAAAAGGAAAAGTAGAAGAAAAAAATAAAACTATATACAATATACACAATTTAAATGCCAGAAAAAAAGTGGTGGTGTGAGTCCAGTTTTATTACAGTTTGTTGTAAAGTCTTATTGCAGAATAAAATCCTTACTCCAGTATCCTTCTTAAGAGGAGCAAGTATGCAATGCACATTGACGTTAATAAAAAGATTTTCTGAGAGAAGCAGGAGGGACTCCTGTTTATAAATTGCAAGTATTTCCAAATTTCTTGCTGTAGAAATACCAAAATCATACCAAAGCTTTCATGATCTCCTTATGATGACCAGGGTCTGCTTTTTTTCTTATAGGAGCTACTGTCTTGTCAGAATAAGCCCAAACGTAAGATCTGGACCAAGGTAAAAAAAATTGCTCTTTCTCTAGATATTCTGGCTGCCTAAGCCTGGGTGCGTTTATCGTCATGGCAACCTGTGAGCCTCAGGCCGGGCCCACAGCTGAGTTAACGGCCAATGTTATTGTTATGCTACTGGTAACATTATCAACAGCCCAGTTAGCTTTAGCATCACACTTACATTTCTGGATGCACCCTGACAGATCTTTGTTACAGTTTGGGCTTGTCCCTGTTTGTGTCTCTATCATCCAGCCCACAGTAACTATAAAATCTTTAAAAGCAAAATGCATGATCCTCTTAATTTAGTCTTTAGACTTTAGCTAAACAAGACACATGCAGATAAGCACAAGTCAGCTCTCCCTTTAGTCTGAATAAATGTTCAGGGATTTGCATGAAAAACTACCACATACATCAATTTTTTATCAATAAATATGCCCTAGTCCTAGTCCCAATTTTTTGGTGCAAATGCCATCAATGCTTGAGTCTGAGTACAAATCTGGGTCCCCACTGCTTGAGTCCAACTCAAGTAGGGTTTTTTTCCCCTGATTTGTTGGATAAAATATGACTCCCCCTGTTGGCGATAAGAAAGAGTGCATGACTGAGGCACTACAGTATTGACTCCATCTTTGAAACCAGGAGCTTGACTACTTTGTATGTAGAGTCTTTGCTATGTAGCTGTGTCAGAGCTGAGATGAGCTGAGCTAAGCCACACCTTGCTAATAGGTCATCAAACCCAACACGGGGGAGCCTTCAGTAGCTGGGAGTGGCAGTGCTTGGTCTTGTAATATATCTAGGAAGCTGAATGTTCTCAGATCATGTTTATTCAAAGCAAATGAACAGAAAATATCTCTAACACCAAACCTACATTTCTAGCAAGTTGGTAACTGTTTATATGGACATCAGAATAGTTCTTTTTAATGTTTACTCACTGTTAGATGGTAGTCTCATGCTGTTCCTGGATCTCAAAAATACTCCTGTGTCCCAGTCTGTAACAGAGAAAAAATGTAACTTCATACTTCAGTCTGTCATACTTCAGTCTATGGAAAAATCAAAGGCTGATCACAACTTTTTCGTAAGATACCTGATGTATGACAGTGGACTGATAACAGATTTATTCAGTATAAAAAAGAAAAAGGCATCAAATTTAAAAGGTTCTGATGAGGCAGTTAAACAACCTCTTTTTGTATCGAACAGTGACCCATCAGAAATGTTGCCTGGTTGTAAGCAGGACCTTGAAAAAGTTGTTTGTATGTTCGTTTCATTTTTAACAATATTTTTCACTTTCACCATATCCACATGCCGAATAAACCTTTGTGTTTTAATTTTGATTTAAATCCATCCAACAGTCTATAGTCCATATGGATTTCTTGAGCACCATTCAGCTTTTCTTAAGGAATAAAGAAGACTCCCTAGAAATGAACAGTGAAATAACAGTGAGACTCCAATGAGTGGAGGAAGAGCACACAGTCGGAGTAAACCCCTTTCAGAGATTGTGTACACCATCTGAATATAATACATGAGTTACAATTCTGGATGATTATTGAATACATTGCTGAATGTGATTGAATGTGTCAGTTCAAAGTACATTGATCAGTGACAATACAAAGTTAATATTTCACCAGTAGAGGTATCTTTATACACTTGCAATTGGGTTGTTTGTGCTAAGGTTTAATAAGTCTCAAGATAATTTCACTTCCTTGTATAACTTTATTCTGGACTCTGAACTCTAGAGGTAAAGATGGACTCATTTGTACATTTATAGGCTTACTACACAGACATCAATTATTACAATCTTATTGTTTCACACTGGGGCAAACCTTTAGTTCCAGTCATGATTTTCTAATAAAAAAAAAAAAAACAACAACCTTTGAACACTTTTATTTTTACATTATCTCTCACCTGAGCTGCCCGTTGCTGCTGTCATTTGATGTGGGTGATCCATTGTGAAATCCAGCCTCTCTCCCTGTACAGAACTGAACAATCAACATACAGTCAATCTGAAAATATGGACTTTTTTCCCAAGTATAATCATGTTTCTCATTCTAAATTATGTTTTCAAATCATTTTGCTTGTGTCGACTCACCTGGTGAAATCTTCTTTGCTGTCTGGTGCAGAGTAGTGAACCACACTGGAGCCAAAGTTCACTATGAAAACCTTTTTTAATTTGGTGGGTGGGACACTGCAAAGACAGGATATTGGTTATGAGGCTTGGTTAATTGTTAACATTCTCTTACACACCTCTCCTAGAACTGACAATCCTGCTCAGGGGACCATGAAATGGAGAAATATGATCTCAGGAATATTTTCGTTAGGTAAATATTAAAGGCCAGTGCCTGAAAAAAAAACAAAAAAAACAAAAAAACGTATTTTTGTCCTCATGTCATCCCTCTGATAACTTCTAAAAGGTTTTACATGATTCACAGTTCAACAAACGCTGAACATTTTTTTTGGGGGGGTGCTGTCTTTGAAAACCCTCATTTAAGCCCCCCCCCCCCATAAAAAGAACACTCAGTTCATAAGCCTATAACCCCATTCAAACTTTTATACATTTTAAACAAAAACAAATATGGTAAAAGTTTGGCAAACGTCATCTCTTACATTGCTGTATATATCCATAAACCTTATAATAAAGATTCCAACTTAAGAAACAGAAAAAGGAACAAAACCTGTAAGATTTGAAACAGATTCACTTGAGATTCACTTGAGTCTCAATATCCCAAGAGTTTTCAGAATTTACATAAACGGAGTATGTGTCCAAAAGATGTTTTTTTTTTTAATTTCTTCTTACTTTATTTCTGAAGCCATGCGACATAGTTACTATTACCGTAAACATTTGTCGAGAACATGTTAGTGTGATCAAAAATTGTGTGACAAAATATGAAAAGGTTAGGCTAGGTTGACTTTTTGGTAGCATTTTTAACAGTAGGCTATATCGTTCAGTCTTCTACAGTAAAGACACAAGCTGCCCCTGATTAGCTGCTCTTTCTTCAGGTGTGCAAACTTAAACACCACAGCTCGTAATACTCTCGTTCAGCAGGTGATTTGACTGACCCGTTTCCTCATTTTTGTACAGCTATTCAAACACAACCTGTTTGGAAAGTCAAAGAGAGAGAAAGAGGGGAAACAACAGAGTTCATGGCAAACAAAGTAGCCTACCACAACTTAAGGAAAAACTTTGAGAGTAACAAACAAATATAATTGAGTGTGGGAATAGAGGAGAGAACAACAATCGGCGGTGGATATGAAAGGTGAGGGCGGTGTGTCGGCTCCTCAGCCAAACCTTATTGCAAATAATTAACAATTAGTGTATACTTACGTTGAGGGGCACAAGGCGAGCAGTGTGTACCATTGTTGATGCGGTATAAGTAAAAAGTTGGTAACGTCAATTCGGCTCGGATGACTGCCACCAAAGTCTGATTTGCCTATCAAAATACAGCCTATAGTAACGGCGCACACCTCTTCAGCTTCTCCTACGTTTTATACGCATTTCGGTGAATCGCGCAAAGTAGCTGGCTGTTATTTCCAAAAATACGAGTTTCTTGACGTTAAACGTTAGCCGAACTTGTAGGGTGTTGGTATAAAGCTTTACTTTCATGGTTTCTAAATATTTTGGGGAGTAATTTTTAAATGGCGTCCGAGTAAAGTAAATTAAGATTTTGAAGAGTGTTTTGGTGCTACGCGCTATTTTGCTATTTTCTGACAGAAAATCTCTTTTTACTTTCTTTAACAGCCAACGGTGCCATTTATTGTTGATATTTGCTGTTAGATACATAAAGAAATGCTCTTTCTTCAGCAATCATCTCGCACACAATCATCTCATGTTAGTGATGGTCTGCTCTGCTTTTATAAATCATACAGAAGCATGGGCATCATTTCTGTGCGTTTCACAGTAGTTGAGGCCTCACAGGGGCTTTAATTGAATAAATAAATAGACATAAAATCAAACTGTTTGCTGTCAGTCAAATGTTTACTTCTCGAAGACATCATTTAAACTGGTTAGAGTTTAGTTTATTTTGAATAAACCTTATCAATGAAATATTTAAAGACAGATGTTCAGGTGACCTTATAGCATCTTGTAGACCACAGCAGGATTTGAAATCATAACAGTAAATTTTCTGGCTGTGTCTCTGTTGAGTTAAGGTGATCCCACACGGATGTTTGACAGTGTTGGAACATTTGGTCTGGCTGTTTTGCATCTCATTTCCCTTTTTAAACAAAGCGGACAAAGCAAACTTCTGTCCTGTTGACTCCTGCTGAAACATGAACTTACTCTTGTGTGGTGCAGAGTTACTTATTCAGAGCAGCGTACAGTTATTACAAAAATTATTTAATTAACAAGGAACCTAGTCCTGAATTGCTGAATGTTAGACACGTTTGTGGTCTCCTGCATCTGAAGGTAGGTCTATTTTAATAAAGAGGTTCTTTTTTACTTTGTGAGATTTTATTTAATTTGGGCAAAGCATTTATAGTCAACATTTTAGCAGTAATGTAATGTAAATGTACAGGAATTAGCACATTAGCTAAATCTCATCTGTAGTACTAAGGCAGGTAAAACAGAAAAGTTTTACAGTCAGTAATGCTTTAAGTTTATTGCTGGATGAGAATTTCTGTTGGCAATCACATATACATTATACAAAGGCAAAATAGCAAAAAGTAAAGGATTCACTGGATAACAAGGCATTGTACATTTTATACAGCACAATGATTGTTCCATATCTGACCTACTGCATTGAAGTATGGGGGAATTCCTGTAAAACATATACTCAGTCAATTTTCATTTCAGAGCAATAAGAACAATAAGTAGAAAACGATATAGAGATCCAACAAATCCATTATTCCTTCAGTTAAAATTGTTGAAATTCCATGAATTAATAGATAATAGTATCCTGGAAATTATGCTGAAAGCTCATAAATTTTTTTTGCCATCAACATTCAGAAAAGATTTGAATAAAGAGAAAGCAAGCATAATTTACAGGGAACAGAGATCTTTAAAAAACCAAGATTCAGGACTAAATTGATGGAACCTTGTATTTCTGTAAAAGGAATCAGTTCATGGAACAATCTGAACAAAGACATCAAAGAATCCAAGTCAAACATTACATTTAAAAGATTAATTAAAGCCAGTATGTTAAGGAAATATGCGGAAATATGTTAGTTATATCTGATTGACATACCATTGTAATTTTGTTGTTGTTTGAGTGGCATTAATTGAATTGTAACTTGGGAACTAAATGGTAAATGACTGTCTGTGGTGGCCAACAGCTATATTTATAATTTTATTTCATTATATATATATATATATATATATATATATATATATATATATATATATATATATATATATTTGTTGTGTTTTGTTTAAGCTGTTGTTGTTTTTTTATTTAATTTAATTTCATTTAATTATTTTAAGCTTGTTCTTTGTAAATTGATTTCTGGGGATAAAGGGGCAGATAAAATAAGATTAATCTTCTTTTTGCTCCCTTTCATTCTAGATAGGAGAACGTTTGTATTTAAATTAAATTGTTTCTTTTTATTTTTAAAGGAATGAAATAAAGAATAAATGAAATGAAGACTGAGGCTGCACAGGAAGCCACCTCATCCTCCCTCCATCTTTCATCAGCCTTGTCTCTCTTCATAAATTAAGGACTGACACCTTCCAATGTTCTTCCTCCTCAAAGCTCTGCTCTGTTTTTAACAAATCCACTCCATCATCAGTCATGAATGCCTACAGAGAGACAATCCTGGACTCTCATTCCAAGAGTCAGCCTTCATCTTCCCTTCCAGACCCTCATTCTTCCCATGATCTGTCTGCTGAAGTCACGTTACCGCCCTCTGGGGTCATCCAGATTGATCAAAACTCTGTGTCAGAGTTAAGCAGTGACCCAGCTTTCTCTGTGGCCCCCGCCACAGATGGAGGTCAAAATGTGGTCCAGAACTCAGTCCACTCAGACTCTTCACCTCCAGTCCTCCAGCCAAGCCTTCCTGCAAACTCATCTCCACTAAACCCCTATCCTGCTCCTGCCACACCCCCCTCCTACCAGGTCTCTGTCATCATCCCATCTCCAGACCTCTGCCCATCTCCCCTCCAGCCTCAGCACGCCGATGACTCCTGCCCGGACCTGGAGTGCTCCATCTGCTTCAGCCAGTTCAACAACATCTTCCGTTGTCCCAAGATGCTGCAGTGCAAGCACACGTTCTGCCTCGAGTGCCTGGCACGCATCAACGTCAAGTCGGCTCAGCCCAGCGCCATCCAGTGCCCGCTGTGTCGCAGCTTCACGCCCCTGCCTGACCTGGGCCTGCCGAAGTTAGCGACGGACTCAGATGTGCTGTCATACCTACCTGCTGCCATGCAGAGAGTCTACAGCATCCGCTTCCTCCGAAACAAAGGGAAGCTGCAGGTCAAAAGGTCAGACTGCCTCACATTTATTCAGTGTCCTTCACATGCACTCCTGAGCCTTTTAAGTATGTGGCGTAGTTGTTCAAGTGAAGCAGTTTCTCTGCTTTATAATCGCCTCATTTGTCCATGTCGCGTCTTTTCCTGAAATGCTAGTCTACCCTAAATTTAGTTTTAAAGCTCTTCTGTGAATGTTTTATTCTGTCAGCTGTGTCCTCTGCAGCCATGAGACCAACAATGCAAATTAAATGAGGTTTTCTATTGCAGTATGCTATTTACCCAGAAAATGGCGCCTTAAAAAAGAGCAGCTGCTTCACTGCGGAAGGAGGAGTATCAAGCAAACTTCTGCCTAGAATAATTATTTCTTTGGAAAAAGGAATGAATATACTCACAGAAATGAGGTTTTTGATTAATTTGGTCAATCAGTGAAAAGATCTTTTTGTGCTGTTAGACTGACAGCACTATGGTGAGATAATCATTAAACTATAGTGTAAAATTACAGCAGAGACTTTAAGTGATGAGATCCTTCACAAAATGAATAGTTAACAAATTTAGCAGCGTACGTCTGTTCTCGTTTGTCTGTATTATTAATTCTAAGAAAGATGCAGATGAATCTCAGTGCTGGTTAAATCTATGGTAAATAGACTATCAAAATGTCCCTCTAAGTAACCGAAAGTAAAACAGGCTGTCAAACAACCAGCAGGAACTTTTTATTACTTAACAGAGATAAGTTTTTACAGTGAAATTGCAGGTCAAAGTCTGTTTCTAATGAAACTTGTTTGTTTGGCTGGAACAAAAAACTGCTGATCATTAACCCATTTAAGTCTCCAAACAAGCAAGTGTTCAAGTTTTGCTATTTTCCCTGCTATAAGATACGTAAAGCCTTATCTCATCTTAAGTCTCTGTAGAAAAGGATATGAAACACAGCTGCGTGATTCTGCCGTCAAATAAAACCTTTGTTTCCACAGCAGAATATTCACACATTATAATTAAATGGCAATTAAAATGCCAAAGACTTGCTGCGTTTGATCAGCAACAGAGCTTTAACAATAATCCAATGAGGGAAAAATCATTTCAGTATTTGCTGCTGCTCTCCTGTCTTGGCCTTTATGCCTGCACATATAGCGGAGAGGAGGTGTGCACTCCATGCTGTAGGCTTTGGTGTTGGGTAGGGAGCTCTCAGAACAGAACCTTACCGAAGTAGAACTGATAAATAACTATTCTTAGAACAGTGGTTCTGACTGAAAGACCATTTTGGTTTTATTAGGTGCTTTTTGTTTCTCTTTCAGGTCGACTGATGGTCACCGCCAGCAGGGTCACAGGTCACTGACATCTCTGAGGTCAGCAAATCGCACTCTGGATGTAGGGCTTCCCAGCCCACCTGCAGGGGTTAGCGCCAGCAGTGAATCTGGTGGCTGTGGTGAAGCTCTGTTCAGACTGACGGGCCAGCCGGTGTGCAGAGCCTTCCTCCTGACATCTGTGGTGATGATGGCGGTGCTGCTGACGGGCATCGTCATCTTCCTCCTCACTTTCAACAAACACAGCGGGTGACATCACTTCCTGTCTCCAGTCGTGATGCAAAAAACCTGATCGAACAGTGAAGTTTCCTAAATGCGGAGGCAATTGTGGGTCTGAATTTAATTAATGAGCAACATCTGTTTCACTGCTGCTGCATACAGACAAACGGATCCAGATGTGCAATAAAAGCCCTGGTTCAGGGCTGTTGTGCAATAACTGCAGCTTTAACTCTCTGACATCTGATGTCAAAACACAGAGAAGAGGGGCCACTCTGAAACCAACACTGCGAATCAAGCAGAGAAAGTGAGAAGACGTGGACTTTAATCTGCCCCAAACCTTGAAATGATGCTTCTGTCACAGCTGAGGGAAGGTAGAATATTAGTCACTTCTCTTGTTCCTAAATCAACTGGATGGTGTTAAAGCAAACAAAAAAACAACATTTAAGCATTTTTTTTATCAATTCCCACTGAGCAACAGTATATTTAAATCTCCATGAGAGCACTTTAATTGTTGTCTAAAGCCTCTTTATTCCACTACAGGCTTAAAAAAACACAAATTAATAATTTGCACTTGATAAACCTGTCTGCAGGTGGCTCAAGAGTTCCTTGTTCTGGCGGCCATAAGGAGCATTTCTTGTAACCAGAAGTTGGATGTTTTACTCTGTTTAACTTCTAGTTTCCACTAAGCTCCTCTCTGTTGACATTAGTGTCAGTTTCCTCTTTCTAGAGCTGTGACTTCACCCTCACTTCTAACCAAATGTTGTAAACAGGAGCCATGCAAATAGACTGAGCTGCAGTGTGAGGCTCAGAGCCCCGGGCAGTGGATTTTCATAGATGCTGTAACACTGATATGCAGTGATGCAACAGTCAGAGAAACTCCTGAACAACAATAACTTAATTCAAATGATGTAAAAACACTACAGCCCACTATGGGATCCTTGCAGTAATGTTATCAGACATTTTCACAAAAACTAGCTCTGTTAGTGGCCAAAACATCAGTTCTAGTGGACCTGTGTTTGTTCTAAAGAGTTATGCTGCAGTCGTCATAGTCCAAGGTCAAACGTTTTGTACTTTTTAGTCTGTTATGCATCAACATGTGCCAAAAATGAGGCTCAGAGTCAAAAATCAGAGAAGCTTCAGGAAGGAAGTATAGTTCTCTAGAATTTGGATGTCCACACACAAAGCAAAGCAGAAAGAATTTGTTAAAGATGTCCAAACATCAAAATCCTTCCTATAAATAACCCTCAAAGGTAAATTTGTATGTGGTTTGTAATGTTGCATTCAGCGCAACAGCTGCTGTGTCACACCTGCAGGAGGCCGTGAGTCTCTGAGAGCTGCACAGGTATCAGGTACTGAGGGACCATGTGTGTCTGATTCAGCCACTAGAATACAAGTGAGATTTCAGCTGACCAAACAACAGACCAGCAACCCAATTCATACTTGAAACAATCCTAAATGTTCAGAGAACAGCTTCACTCTGGTTTTTGAAGAGGAGACTTCATTCACTGTGCTGTCCTGACAACTCATTTCATAAGATTAGATCATAGATTTTAAGAGAATAATCCTGAAGGTGAATGTATGGTACATGTTGCGAAACTATGTCTGAGAGGGAGGACACGTTTTAATCAGATCTTTTTCTACTTTTCTGTCTTTTAACCTTGACCTGTTTTATTCTGTGATGTAAAAATAAATAATTTTATATATTTATACACCTGTTTTAGCAAAGCTCGCACTTTGACCATGTTTGCCTTGTTTAAGTTGAATAAATTCTTTGAACTAAAAGTTTGTTTACTTACTAATCAGGCAAAAATTTGCCAAACTATTTGAAAAGATACTTTTCAAAAAAATCAGCTGTCAGAATTAGCTTTTTTTTTTATTTTGCTCTGGCAACACCAGTGATGTTGATGTGAAACTTGGGTCAGGGTTTATTGCTGCTGTGTTATAAAAGCTATCTCACTCCTGTTTGAAACGTTTTGTTTAAAAGTTGCCTGCATAGACTGAGGATCATATTGTAGCCTTTTCTTGATATCCAAAAACTAAACAAGACCATCAGCAGCTAATGTTAAGATTTTAATGCTATAGTTTTTAATGCCTGAAACAGCTTTGGGAGGGATGGTTTTAGTTGAGCAGATGAAGGAAAAGCCCCATCTTTTAAAATTTGTTAAACTAATATCTGAAAGAATCAAATCACAGAAATCCTGCGAAGTTTTCAGCATGTTGCACCACCATGACCCAACAGGTGGCGCTAAAGCATCAGTAAACACAGTTTTTATAGACTGAAGAGGCTGGACTGTTATTTTCTTTTCTCAAGGTGCAGCAACAGGAGCAGATATGAGGCAACAATCCAGACTTACCATTGTTAAACTCTGCAACAAGCTTCATGAATTTGGGCTTTGTTAATTTTAGAGGGATCGAGGCTGGTGAGCAGAGACACTGAATTTGTGCAGTGTTGAGGATGTTCTTATGACTACTTTTCTATTTTCCTCTTTGCTGTTTGACAATTTTATAAAACACAAGAAAGTTGTTTTTCGTCTTTTTGCTCAATGATAGTTGAAATTGAACTTTGGCTCTGAATCTTGCTTGGAGGAAATGTGATGGTGCTGGTCCTGTGAATGCACCGCAAACACACACACACACACACACGGGACTGTTCAGCTTGCAATGTCAGGTGAGGTATTTTTTTAGACTCCACAGCTGAAGCAGGTTTTCATTCTAACTATTTTTGATTTTTTTTAAAGTCATAAAATCATGTCATCTGATACAAAGATCCTCCCTCCTGACAGTGGGACAGAGCTGAGCATGCTGTGAAAGTCCCAGATCTATGAGGTTCAAGCTCACATGGCTGGTCTCCATAGAAACTGGCTAAGTGTGTTGTCAGGGTGTGTCCTCTTAATCATTCACACAGTTAACTATAAGTACACTCACCTGCACACACCTCTGCAGAGACACTGGAGTGTTTGTTTAGCATCACAGCAAGAAACTTAATGCTCGATGATGAAAACTCAATAATCAACTGAATTCACTGTAAGCTTGTGTTATTGTATGACACATGGTGTTTCATTATCATATATGCAAAAAGGCAAAAGACACTTTTAAATGTATAAACACTAGAATAAAGCTGCAACGCTACTTCAATATTTTAACTGGATCTGGCTGGAAGAAAAACCACGCTGCTGTCACACCTTAGTTTATGGCTTATGTTGACAGTTTAAAGCTCTCTCATTATGTGCTGATGTTTAGCCTTTTTGGTGCATTTTCTTTAAAATATTTTTATTTTCCTGGAGTTTTTCTTTTCTTATTTCTAACTAAATTAAGAAAAGCCTGGCTAGGCCTCTAGAGTCCTCAGGTTAGGTGTGACTTTGGCTGCTTCAGTCATTAAAACAGCTTCTCTGCATGGGAGTCAGACCCAAAGCATGATCAGAAACACCCTCACCTCATTGTGCATGAATCTCTGCAGACGTTAAACATTTTGTTGTTCATTTAAAGACCAAATTACATGCTGACTTGACACTTTTTATTTGGTTCAGATGGTTTGTTAAATTATGAGGCACTGACTTAAAGAGATATGCGCTTCTTTAATCCTGTTGAACACCAAATTAATCCAGTAGGGGATTGCTTTGGTCATTTGGACGATTTTTCTGTTGATGGTGAAAAAAGAGGACAGAGGGGGGGTTCTTGAGGTCGCTGACCTCATTTGAAACAATTTCATGTGTCTCTACAGGACACACAAATGGACACACAGGTTTTGTTTGTGTGATAGAGGGCTTTTTGTTGGAGCAGGAGGGAACATTGTTGTTGTCTCATGATGCTTTGCCAGTTTCCCAGGATTCCTCTCTCTGCGTGGGCACGTAGGCTGTGAGAGTCTAAAGCTGAACAAACTCTGTTATTGTGTTATTGGAAGGTCAGTCAGTCTGGTAAAATGTTCACGCGGGGTTGATGGTTTATTATCACCTCCCTGCTTTACATGCTTTCAGCTCTCCTCAGATAGAAAACACCAGCCAATCAGAGGGATGTTTAATTTTATGGTCCTGATAAGGGGTGTCAACATCTACACGCGTAAATGGATACACGGGGAACAAATCATAACCATTTAGAAAAAACCAATAGCCATTTACATGTTTTTTTTCTTCTCCTCCCCATACTTGATCATTTCCCACCAACAAATATATACTGTTGCCTGAAAGCTTCAGATAATAACATGAACTAATTATACACTTAAATGTTCCCACTAGTGACGTTATCCGCATACATAATAGATGAATAGGGCACAATGTCACGTTAATTAAAAAAATAACGTGACATTGAAAAAAATACCGCAGCCTGCACAGCCAGTGTCGCGTTACCTCAAGTTGACTCGGTGACATGATGGCAGTGGTCATCAAGTGGAGCACTGTGTGGCAGTTTTTTGAACAAACTGCTAGTGGAAATCAAGTTGAGTGTAGGTTATGTCAAACAAAGTTGGTTTACAACAACAGCACGGGGTCCATGCAAAACCATCTGTAATGGAAACACCCGGACAAGTAGGAGGGAGAGACTGCTGCTGGTATCGGTCCTACCGCTAGCGGTTCACAGGCTAGCATGAGAAATTATATATACAACAGGGCGAAGAAATGTGACAAGGCACGGAGTGAACATATCAGCAACTTAATAGCTGAAACGGTGGTTCTCAACATGCAGCCTGTGTCAATGGTTGAGGATGACAGATTTCTTTTCAGCTGATGAAATTTCTGGAGCCAGGCTATAAAATTCCCTGCCGAGCAACAGTTAGCTCATGGATATCAAAGTACGTTTTCTTGTCTGTCAAAATATTAGATGATTTTATTTTCAACTCATTTTACTTTCTGTCATAAGTAGGCCTAAGCCTTAAAATGTTAAATGAAGTTCCGTGATTTATCTGTGATGTTGGCCATAATTTAGTACCTATTTGAAGTGGGTCTACAAGAATACATTTTTGTCTGATTACTGGAATGGCCATCTCCTAATGGGATTAGGAGGTGTTCAATGGAGACAGAACCTTCTAGTGGTTATATAGCACAACTGCGATAGAAAGAGATATCTGACGTGTAACCGGGTACACGTCGGTTAGAAGCCCTGTTTACACGTGATGAAAAAATTGTAAACGTTGACACCCTTGGTCCTGATCTTGCCAGTGTTTCTCACAGTTTTTATATATGCTGTCTCAAAGAAATAGAGACTCCTGAGCCATTATCGCTGCAACCTGATTGCTCAAACTGGCCTCCTGTGTCAACCCACCTGTGTGCACTGTGAGGATGCCAAACACAAACAAACAAGGATACACACTGACCATCTCTAGTGTTTTCCAGCTCAGTCTGGTCACACTACTCTGACTGTTTACTCTGAGTCACCACAGACGTTTCACAGCATACTCAGTGATTGTTTCACATCATGTATTGATGCTTTTTTCAGCTGCAGTCATTAACATCAGATGTAATTCACTGGCACAAACCCCTCTGCCAGTGTTGTGTTGTCAAAGATAATAATTGGTTGTGTCCTTGATGGAAAGCGCAGATGAGACTTTTATGTGACATAAGTGGCTGACTGGTTGAGGCAGCTTCAAACAAAGACTGCTAATTCTCATTTGTGAAGTTTTGTTAAACTTGTAGGATATGTGCTTGGGTGAATGATTTTGAACTCTGCCCTGAATCAAGTCACATGACATGAGAGACTCTGTTTACCTTAAATCTGATAAATGTGCAGTGGTTGGTAAACAATATATCAATCAGCTGTGAGCTCAAAGGATCAGATGACGATGTTAAAACTGAAGTAAGTAGTCAGTGAGTTTGCTCTCATCTAAAGTTTGCGGTTATTTTAATAGTTCCATAACAGCAGCAGGGATGAAGTGACTTAAACCTTTATTTTGAAAAGTTGTGTTGTCCCAAAAATCACCTTTCTGTCTTTTTTATGGTTTGGTTCAGCAGTCTGCAGAGGAAGAGGTTTCTGTTTGTTTCCTCTCAGGATGAGTGGGAACCTCCTGAGAACACAAAACAACCATTTACTTCAAAAGATGATCTTTTGCTGAGTTATCAGTTCAGCAGTTATAGAAAAATGTTTCCATCCTAAAGAGATCATTTCAATCTGTGACATGATTGATTTGAACAATTCAATAAAGGTTGGAGTGAATGAATGAAAATATTTCAGTTTTTCAATGATCATAAAAATCTGCCAAAATCAGACATGAACCACCTGGGAGAAAACCAGGGTTTACAGTTGTTCTCAATTGCTAAAACACATTTCCTGACATCCACCATGCTTTTCTCAAAACTATTAGCACAAAAATAAAGTCAAAACAAATATAAATTAAGAGCACACTACAGCAAACCACCATATCAAACTCAAACTCAAGTGCGTTCAGTAACTACAATCATTCAGCCACAGCATCATGGCTTCATGCTGGGTCAGGCCTCAGGAATTCATCCACATTACAGGCCACATTCTCCCTGGCCAGGCGGCAGGGAAAAACCCGTCTGAACAGGCTTATATAGATTTCATTACATCATTAGCCAAAAGCATGATCAGTTTTGAGTTGTTGTGTTTAAGCTCTGACACCTGTGCTTCAAATGTGATCAACTTTTGCTACCTGTATGTACCATTATGCAAACCAGGTGCATCACAGTGCAAAATGTGTTTTCGTGAGAATGCATTTGCAAGTTGTGCTTGCTTTGCAAGTGCTTATGGTTTTGCCGAAAGAGTGACTGATTCACTAAGGGGGTTCAGGCCGCTGTGCATTTGATTCAGACTATAGGGTTGAGTAGTTGAATGATGTTCATTATATCTACATTTTCTTAGAAATAGTTTTATTTCTTTTATCTCAGACATGTACACTTTTTCACGTACCTTGACATGTTTCGGCGGAACCCTCTGCCTTCCTCAGAAATGTCACTTGGTGGTAGGTGTGACGCGTCATATATCAGCTGATGTTACAGAGGCGTGACATGTGACACCTCTGAGGAAGACGGAAGCTTCCGCCAAAACATGTCAAGGTACGTGAAAGAGATTACATGTCTGAGATAAAAGAAGAAAGAAAACTATTTCTATAGGGTTTAGTGTTTTAGCAACCAAGAAATACTGTGAATACTCCACCTGTCATCTTATCTTGAGTATTATTGAACTGTAAATGAATTCCAATGGGAGAAATTCAGGAATGGAAGACATATCAAAATTAGAGTGGACATTTCTAATTACTCTCATGTGTGAACACCGCCCCCTGCAGACAGACACCTGGATGTCCAAACTGAAACCTCACCTGCTGAGAGGCAGCTGAGTGCAGGTTCACCAAGCACCTGTCCTTGAGGGGGCTCAGGTCCCACTTGGGTCGAGGTAAAAGGCTGAAGTCTCCAGGCCTGAAGCGAGCCAACAGGAACACTGGATCTGAGGAGAGGTTCAGGGTCTCTTCTCTGTAGGGGTGGGACAGGGTGACAGGGAGAAACCAGTAAGTTACCCCACCTTTGTTCTGGTCTTTGGTATACAGGTGCTCTTATGCTACCTCAGTGGTTTTGGAGACAATTCATTTGACCATATTTAAATCCTTCTGGTTTGAAGAAAAACAAACAGCTGACAGCAGCACAGGATAATCTCCTGTAAGCAATGTGTACTTAATTACATTATAAAATAGAGGAGGTAAGAGGCTTGGCTGTTCATGAATAATTAATGAAGATTAGTTATATGAGATCAGGAATCATGCAAAAATTCATGGGCTCCTGATAGAGCCTTCATCACGTCATCCCTGGGATATATTTATTTATATCATTCACAGACACATAAATGTGAAAAGCCTTAAGATATGACTGTCACCAGTGCAGAGTCTTAAAAAAGAGGTCAGAAGGAGCAGGAATGACTGTGACCCTCCTTTCACTCATAACCCCTGATTTCATACTGCTGAGCTGCTCCTACACAGAGCTGCTATCATCATGTTTACTTAGCAGAGAGGATCCGCTGGAGAGTGAAGCAGTACCTGTCTGATTCTGGGTCGGAGGTCTGTTTCTGTTCTCCACTTCTCGACTCCATAGACCCTCTAAGGGCGGAGTCTGCTCCCTCAGGGGTGTTTCTCTCAAGGACCTCCAGCAGCTTCTGACTCACCTGAGTATTTGAGGCCTTGTCTGAGTCCTGCAGATGACAGAGAAAACCACAGCCTGACTCTAGTAGTCCGAAGTTATATGATGGCAAACTGGTATTGTAATACAATACAATGGGAAACATATCTACATCCTTGCTGAGTTTGTTTTTCATATCATGAAAGGTCCAGGCTACCGGTTCGAGAGGTTCAGCTCTGAAGAGGACCAAAGTCAGAGGGACAGGCCAGAAGTCACAGCACACAGGCCTGAATACAAAAACCAGCGCCTTATTCATCCTTTGGATGCTCTTTTGGTCTCACTGCAACACTCTGGCTCAGAGGAGGACTTTGGGCCTGCTGGGTGGCATTCAGAGTTGACTTGGCAATCACACAGATAACCAAGGAAGAGAGGCTTGATGACCAGTTGAAACTATTTCAAAATTAACTTTGCGAAATTAAAGAAAAATCAATTAAAAGGCTTAATCTCGAATTGCTATGCGCACAAAAAGTTATAGTTTCACAACTTGAACCAAGATGATGTTCAAGAAAAATCAAACAACGTGAATGAACACGTGGTGGAAAACTTAGAAGACTAAGGAAAAAGTAAGGCAAAGAGAAAACAAGCTAAGAGGTAACTTAGCGGAAACAAAAGAAAAAAAAGAGGGAAAAGCAAGAGCAAAAGGGCAAGAGTAAACGCAAGCAAGAGAGCACCCCAACTTTACTGGTTTTATACTCTTCAAACTGGGAGTGTTTCTAAGGTGTGAGGAAAGAAAAGAGGGGTCCCTGATCTCCAGCTGCAGCTTCCTGAGAGAAGACTTTAAAGATCCCTGATTGTTTGATCCAACTTATTCTTTGGCTAGTAAAGGAGTCTGATTGAATACTCACTCACTATGATTAATGTTAAAGAATGCTGGGTTCATAACAAAGGATTTGATGTTAAACACATATAAAGACTTGTAGAATCACATTGATAAACAATCTCATTATGCTTTGAGTATCACTTTTCAAAGAACACTGATCATGTTAAATTACTCTGAAATGAAACAGATAGTAACACATATGAACTGTGAACAACACAAGGGTAAACACATGTAAATGAACTTCGTAACAGTTAATAATGGATTCTACAAACCAACATTCAGATTATTAACTAACAGTATAACTACCTAACGGTTAACAAAGCTAAACAAATGATTAAGAGATAAACTAAACATTTCTACACTATTCCTATTGGATTAACGGGTTGTAATTCAAACATAATAACTTCAGCTCTTAAAAGTTCATAAAATAGTTTGGAAAGTTGTTGATCTCAAGGAACCTTAGGACTGAAGGATTTATTCTGTCAGTGCGGGATCTTGGTTTATGAACATGATAGGCAAATGGGAGAAAGACAGTTTTACTGCACATGTTGAGTACTGACAGAAGATCATGGTTTAGTGTCCATCCAACCTGTAATTGGACTAGTTGTTGTTATTCTCTTTGGATTGTACTCACAGAGAGCACAGGAAAGATCAACCAAAGTTATGATTTATGGCTGAGCTGATAAACCTGACGCTTCCCAGTCAAGGTGTGATGACAGATGTTTATCTGATCGAGTGGTCCTGTAGTTCTTTCCTGCTGGCCATAAACAGTGTCTTTGTCTCTTTGAAGTAGAAAGGAAAGAAAGTTTGTGCTTTGGGAATGCTTCTGTGGTTATCTTGTATAGAGACAGGAGGTTGTAGAGGGATTGTGATTTGGTGTTAAAGGTTTACACCATCTTGTCTCCGGTGAGCAGATGTATGCCTTACATTCTTTTGGGGGGTTGGGATGAGAAGGTGGTGGTCTCTGCTACAATATTATCACTATGGAAATATTTACTGAGGTAAACATCAAGTGAGAGCTGAGGTTTTGTTGTTAATCTCAGACAATCTGTTTTTTTAACTGGTGCTGTTGCCCCCTGATGGACATTAAAGAAGATATTTCCACACTAACTTTGCTGGTGTAACCAGAGACTATGTCCACCTCTGACACTCGCTCTGTGGTTTGTTTTATGGTTTTACCTTAAGGGTGTATCTGAGGATGAAAACTGCGTCCTTCATGTCATCCTCCAGCTGACCCACCATGATCTTCTCTTCCTCCAGCTTCTTCTCCAGCTTGATGACCTCATCTCTTTTGAGACAAAGCTCCTCTTGTGCTGAGTTCAGGTTTTGACTGAAAACATGAGAGTGAGGGTATAACTCAGAAGCAGAGCGTTTCAATACAGATGAAGAGTCTTCTGCTAACAGATGATCCAAACTATCAGCAGGTCAAAGTGGAAGTTTGGGTTTGAGAAAAGAAGAAACTCTTAAATGTTATTTTGGAACCAAATACTCTGTTTTTTTTTTTTTAATCTTAAAATTCAAATCGGATTGGTGGCTTTCAGCACCCAGAGGTCTGTTATTTCCCAGTAGCAGACTGTTGCTGGAGACGCTAATCTGATCACACACTCTGCCGGATTAGCTGTACTATCTGAGACGCATAAATCCACATAAATAAGTCAAGTTTGACATCATTGTCTATATAAGCTGATTTAGTTACAAATCTTTGATTTCAGTTGTAGTCAGCAAAAACAGACGAAACCTTTACCTGACATCCTCGGTCTGGGCCAGAATGAACTGCCTGATCCTGGTGCGCTGCTTCATCTTCAACTCCAGCTTCTGGCACATCTGCATCCGCAGCGTCCCTTCCTGAAGGAGGAAAAGACTAAATCAGTTTGGATGATCTTTGAGCTTGGAAAAAAAAGTTACAGAGGGCTCATTGTGTTACAGGTGCTGATGAAATACATAAGCTGAATGCTTTTCTCTCTAAAATCAGATTTTTTTTTTCTTTTGAAAGATATTCTGGTATTAGCTTTTTGTTTTGAAAAGGCTCAGGTGCACAATTTGAATATATATTTCTTTTCAGGTCTCAGCTCTCAGGTGACCATGTGGCACTCACAGCTGAGGATGTAGTGGAGGGACACTGCTGCAAATCTTAATAAGCCTAAATGTTCTTAATTCATTCACTTAATTGTTAAAAAAAATTGTAATTATTTTTTACAAAAATATCTGAGGTATATGAGGGAATTCACAGCCCTGAGTTCACCTTCTTGCGGAAATGTATTTTTCTAAAACTGACCCTAATTTTGGATCTCTTCTAAGATTTTAAGACATACATTTAAAAAAATGAACTCTTCAGTCTCATATAAAAAAAAGCCATAAACACCTAACATTTTACTTAATACTAATAGAGAAAGCTAAAATCTCAGAGTCCTGACATGTTCAACAGAGGTAGTTTCTCATGTTAAAAGTGACATATTGATGACGTTGGTAAAATTGAAGAATAATTTAAACAATTCAGCTTCATTTTGTTTGTATCCAGGTATCTCCTTCAGTCGCTCACATAGCGGAAGCCTTTGAACACAAAAGCAAAACCTTGTTCTTCAGTGTCAGCCTGTTGTAAATGGTGACAGCATTTGAACAAAACTAATATGCAGATACCTCCTTAATGGTGCAGATCTTCTCCTCCTTCCTCACAGCCTCCAGCTTCAGATCATCTATCTGTAAGTAAAGCTCCTCCTTCCTGTCTGCTATCATCTCTCTCTCCACCTCTAGCTCATGAACCTCCTCAAACAGCTGCAGCAGCTTTGGTAATAAAACGCTGTGCTGAGCCCTCTCCTCCTGAACAATCTCCGAGATCCTTGTCTTTGACCACATATCCAGGGACTGCTGTAACTCCTCCTTCAGGCTGTGGTCAGAGGAGAGTGAAAAATCAGGACAAAGTTTACCATCAAAACCAACCTTCCTTCAGACTGTCAGACTTCACCTGGTCAGCTCGGACTCTGTTTTGTCTTCCAGAGCCTTGACGGCACTCTGGAATTCACACTCTTCTTCAGAACCAGACTGCTCTTCTGGAGACTCCATGTCACACAGCTGCTGCTCCAGCAGCTCAATCTGCCGCCGCTGCTCCTCAAACTGTGCAGCTGGTGAGGGGAGGAGGGAAGAGGATGCTCAAACTTTATGCGCTGTCAAAAGTTCAAAGTTCAATATCTTTGCTCTGCAGCAGACTGGATGGCAGAAACACACTGCACTTGAAACTCACACACATAACACCAAACTACAACCACCTTGTCTTTGGGCACAGGCTCAGGGCTCACAATGATGGAGGGTTTTGTTTCCCAGCATTTTCAATAGTACTATGGGTTACATTAAGTGTACATAATATATCTGTATGTATGATAACAGTATCCACTATGTTAGATGGCAATATGCCCCTTTTCAGCTCGACACTATGGATACATTAACAACATCAAAACCCAAGTGTGGAGATGAGTGTGTTGTTATCGCCTCTAACAGCACTCAGAAGATCCAACACCCTTAATTGTACATAACAGATTTTTTTTAGATTAAAGTCTTGTATTATATCCTACACTGAGGTCAACTGCTCACAAATCTGGAAATCTTTCAGTATATTGACAAAATAAATTGATAATTTCAAGCAGAGAAAATATTCGTCTTAAAATAGTTGTAGGCCTTCAGTTTTAGGGACTCCAAAGATTGGGAAGATTAAACAATGAGATGTTTATGTTAAGCAAAGCCACTGAAGACACATTTGACACTCATCAACATGCAGTCTCACCGTATTTCTCGTTCAGTAAGCTCTGTTCGTCAACCTGCTCCTGTAGTTCTTGTGCCTGTCGGCTCTGCTGCAGCTTCAGCTCATCTAGACTCTGCTCTGTGACCTTCTGCTGAATCTCCACCTCCTCACTTAGCTCATCCACCATCTTCTCCTTTTCAGCTCTGGAGTGTTTCAGGAACTCACTGATGTCTTCCTTGTCTTCTTCCAGCACCCTGCACAAGAGGACGAGGTTCTTATTCTGCTTCTCCAGCTCGTCACATTTCAGCTGACACCTGCAGCACGAAGAGAGAGACGTAGAAACAATGTACTGAAAGTCATTTACAAAATGTAGTTAAACGTTAGCATGACGTTAGTACCTTCATACCTCTCCAACTTCTTATCCAGACATTTAATCTGTGCCAGATATACAGATGTTTCTTTTTCGTCAGAAGTGTTTTTATCAGTCATACTGACGCATTAGTCGTTATCTTGTATAGTTGTAGTCTTAAAATTTCTTATTTTCTGTTTTTCAATCCCCCGTTCACCTTATTTTCGTACCAAGTTTCCAGAGAAATCTACTCTACCAAACGGTCGTTGCTAGGAAATGCTGCGTTCACTAACTCCTCGGAAATTCAAAACTTTTGAAAGTACGTGATATATACAGTATATATGTATATATATATTTCTGTTGCTTTCAGATGTGCCTCAGTGATAAGAAAAAAATCTGACTTGATTTTCACAGGATACAAGTTTTTTTCATCAAGTTTTATGAAGATTAAATATGTTTCAAACTGAATTAGTCCGCTCATTCATGTCTTGCCTGAGGATCAGTTAGTCATATAACCAAAACACTCACACGCACCATCCAACACACGCAACCCTGAGCTCTAAATACCAGTTCATGCAGATAGAGGTGTTCCTTCAGTGTGTGGCTGCCAGATCCCACACAGCTTCACCAACAGAGCTAATATTAAACACTTTTCTTCATCAAGATTAATGAAGCACCTGCGAGGAATTTTTAGCTACTTATGAAACAGACTGAATGTATGCTTCTGGTTGACCTACAAAAGACTCCATCAGGGGAAAAAAAAGTTATTTTCAGGAGCTGCAGAGTAACTATAACTCTTTGCCAGGAGTACAGACAGGATAAAATAATTGGGGCTACTGTGCTTAAAGTGGGGCTGTCATGCTCATTTACAGGCATTATATTGTCCTTCTGACAGTTTCGTGGAAGCTTTACATAATTTACAACTCAAAGAGCTGTTTGTTTATCTCGGGCTGGTGTATTTAAAAGTCTTCAGTTCAGCCTCTACCTGAAACACTACATTTCAGCTACTGTCTCTTTATACCTCTAAATCAGACCATTGTGGTGTATGTGGTCAGGATCATTAGATACCTCTGCATTAGCCTTCTAGCCGGCAGAGCAATGTCTTTGCTAGTTTCTTCTCCCACTATGTTCCCTGTAAGGTGTGAAACAGTTGGTCATGCAGCAGAACTGTGTCAACCTCTCCACAGAATCTTCAACCTAAGTCTACAGCTGGGGCGGGTACCTACTCTGTGGAAAACATCCTGCATTGTGCCAGTACCAAAAACAAAATGTCCTGCTGAATTCAGTGAGTACAGACCAGTGGCCCTCACTTCACACATCATGAAAACCCTGGAGCGGCTGATTCTACGCCTTCTGAGGTCTGAGGTCAAAGACAAACTGGACTCCCTGCAGTTTTCATACAAAGAACACATTGGAGTGGATGATGCTGTCCTCTACATGCTTCACCATGCCCTGTCTCATCTGGAGGAACCTGGAGTTTATGTGAGGATCATGTTCTTCGACTTTTCAAGTGCATTCAACACCATCCAACCCACCATACTCAAAGACAAGCTCACAGAGATGGGAGTGGATCCTTCCTGTGTTTCCTGGATCGCAGATTACCTGACAGGAAGGCCACAGTTTGTCAGGCTGGGGAACTGTGTTTCTGGGACATTAATGAGCAGTACAGGGGCTCCACAAGGGACAGTTCTGGTGCCATTCCTGTTCACACTGTATACGTCAGACTTCAAATACAGCACTGAGTCCTGCCACTTCCAGAAATACTAAGATGACACCGCTATTGTGGCATGTATCAGAAATGGACAAGAAGCTGAATACAGAGATCTGATAAGAGCCTTCAGTGACTGGAGTCACAAAAACTGCCACCTCCTCAACACCTCAAAGACAAAGGAGATGGTCATAGACCTCTGTAGATCCAAACCCCCTCTTCAGCCAGTGAACACCTGTGGAGTAGACATCGAAGTGGTGATATCATATTCCAGCTGGACTCAGTGGAGGATGTGGTGGAGAGAGCTACACTGAGGAAGGTGGAGTCTATTCTTAAGAACATGGATCACCCACTTCACAACACCTTGATGGATCAAAGGGCCAATGGTGGTGGACGGCTCCTCTCTCTTCGCTGCAGGACAGAAAGATTTAGAAGATCTTTTGTACCAACAGCCATCAGACTTAATAACTCTTGTAAATAATAGATAACTTTTATAGACACATTATGTGAGACAACAGACAATTGAATTTCCCTTCGGGGATCAATAAAGTTTTTCTTATTCTCATTCTTATTCTTATGCAGCAAGTATTGCAGAAGAAAAAATAAAGGTAATGGATGGAAGAGGCTGATAAGGCTGCTGAAAAGGGGGACAGGGGGCGCTACTGATACTGGAAATGCTTGCAACCAAGTAGGTCTGTGTTGTTTTGACACAAAGTCATATTTTGAAGAAGCATGCATTGGGCTATGTACGGGTTGTGATGGGGGTCTAACACAGAAACATAAACCAGGCTTCAACCCCTTCCCCATCACATTGGGATCCTCCCCCCGCCATATAAAAAAGCCACGTTTTTCCTACTTAAAATGACATTTGTGTTGGACCCCAAATCCAACCTAGTAAGTAAACACACAATATTTAGGTGCTCAAATGTGGTGTTTAAACTTTCTGATTGTGTTGACTTTGGTGCCCCCTGTGGACAAAGTGGTACTCAGAGGTGTTCAGCAAGCAGCCTCAAAGAAAGTTGAAGCCAAGTTCACTGGGCCCAGCATGAACCTAAGAATATCTTCAGGTACCATCAGTCATTTTCATAACTGAGGTTTCTCCTCTGCACACTGTCATAACCTGTGTGCTGTCCTGCACGCTACCTCCACCTCTCACAAATATTCAGCTCGCCTGAGGCCGGCACACTGTACCTCCGTGTCTCTGTGTTACTGTCTGTTTTCCTTGGATGTATTTATGTCCTCAATCTGCATCCACCCAGCCCAGTTTACCCGCAAGGATGATGCCTCTAAAACGGGAGTAATGTGCCCTTTGCACGAAAAGTGAGACAAATATGTCTTCATAGAGAGGGTTAGACATAGGGTGGAAGACAAAAGCAGCTTGTGGTGAAAAGTGTGGGTGTGGAGGAAAGTTATGGAGATGTTCAACTCCCAAACAATACGTTTTCATTTGAGCAAAACTAAAACTTTGAAGTAGAGATGAACTAAAGCTGTTTTCAAAACACATTTTCATGCAACACTGACATAAATACTTTCCAAGTCATGCTTGACCCACATTATTGTTAATTTTGCCAAAATCATGACATGTTTGCCCTTTAAATGTGGAAAAAAAGGAACATGAAACAAAAGAATAATAATGGATGGAAAAATGACCAAATCCTCATCCACAACATAAAACAAAGAGAAATATGATACAAAACTTAAAAAAACAGACCTGAAAGTAATTCCTGAGAAGTTAAAATTGACATTTCCAGGACTGTTATTGTTTTATTTTTTTTATTTTTATTTTCAAGCATTTACTAAAGATGTTTATAATGTAAAAAACCTGGGATGATTTGTCACCCTCCGTTTTTGAATTGTTATACATTCCTTCAACTGCATTATGAATATCTACATTTCAGACTGTACAGGAGCTGCTACAACGTGAAGATAATATGTGCACAAAAGATTTGAAAGAAACAATAGCACAAGTTGAACAACTTTATTTCTTGTCTACAGGACATAAAAACCTGAAATGCCTCTCTTTCTGTGTGTTCCTACAGATGTTAAACAGATCTTACACTTTAATATCAATGAGGTGAATTTCCAACAGGTTAGTAACATGACTGGGTATAAAAAGGACATTCAGAGAGTCTGAGTCTCTCAGAGGGAATGATGGGAAGAGGTTCACCACTCTGTGAGAGACTGCCTGACAAATCCAAATCTGACATCCCTTTTGGAAACCATGGTCACCACATCTTTTACTTCTGGGTTGACATCAGGACAAGCCTGTAGTATCTGTAGTCGAAGAGTTCTGCTAATATCCTGGACTGCCTGCAGTCCTGACTTTTTCCCCACTGAAAACATTTGGAGCATTGTGACACCAAAACTACTGTTGAACAACTGAAATCCTCTATCAGGCAATACCTGGACAACATTTCACTGTCAGACTCCAGAACTGGCTCTCAGGTTACCAAGCATTCACAGCGTGTTGTTCAGGGGTAACTAAAAACCTTCAACTTTCAGCTTGAAATCCCACCAGAACCTGCAGGGCTTTGTCTTGTGGTCTCAGGAGCCGATTTGGGCTGCACGCTTCATAACAGCTCCCAGAATTAAGCCATTATCTTTCCTGTGCACTGACAGGTGTTTGTTTCCTGGTTGTCAGGGCAGCCTGTAATTAAAACATCAGAGTGAGCAGGTATTTCTCTGATATAACACATCAATCCTCCTCCTCCTCCTCCTAGCAGTCTCCCGTCAGTCTCATGTAGGTGAGGTGATAGCTGGCAGGAATGCATAAGTAAAGAGATTTAATACCACTAATGACTCTATAGTTCACCATACATTATCCTTAACTTAACATGTACCAGGATATGACATAGGGGAGACCGGGGCTTGTCGTCACATGGGTAAGTTGTTAAATTACAATTATCTATGCCACCAGAGGGCATTGTGAGCTCAGATGTGCGCCAGTTAACCATTTTGCACAACCCAAAGTAAAAATAAATGAACTTTATATATTTTAAAATATTTTTATATATTTTAAAATAAGCTTTTTCCAGATAAAAATCCTAACATGTGGACTTGTTAGAGGAGAGATTAAGGTGTCCTGTCATACCTCATTGTTCTGTTTTAAGATGACTTTAAGCTAGAGCTAGAATTAGCAGACATGGTAGTTTGGGGCAACATAGTGATGGGAAGAACAGTTCTTTTGACTGTACTGAATCTTTAGAATCCGTTCATTAAAACGATTCATTCAAAAGCTTCGTTCACTAAATCAGTCAGTGCTTAAGTCAGTCCTGAAGGAAGAATCACACCCCTGTCCCGAAAAACTCACCTCTCTGCGTGTTGCCACCGGTGAAAACAACACAGCAGCGAGCAGCACGCCCGCTAAACGAGCGCGAGTCATCGTTCTTTCATATTGCAGAAAAGTGGAGAGATTAAAAATAAATAAACATCACAGCTGTAGTGGGGATTCTGATACTTTTAAAGATATCAAATTGCATATTACTTTAAATCGGCTGAAATTAAGCCCTTCTTACAGTAAAGTTTATACACATGTATTAATGTAAAGGCACTATAATGACCTGTTTTATCTTAGCCTCAGTAAACGAACCGGTGCTTGGCAGTCAGTTCGTGAATGACGCTACATCCCTCCCTCCTCTGCCTGCATCAAGTCGTTCAGAAGTCGTTCATTTCGTTCACAGTCTGACTGATACATGTCGTTCATATGCTGTGAGCAAATCACATGACTCTGCCTGCCTGCCCGCCCACTCGCTGGCTGGCTGTGTGTCGTTTGCAAAGAGCCAAAAGAGGCAATTCCATTCCTGACCGGGACTGCAGGCTTGCGGCTGAGCTCAACTGAACTGAGAAAGGAACGAATCAGGTCTGGGAGTGATTCCATTCATGTCGTTCACTCAGCAGTTCAGTTCTTTTGATC